AAGAAGAAGAAGAAGAAGAAGAAGAAGGAGAAGAAGAAGAAGAGAAGAAAATGTAAAGAAAAAAGAAGAACCCAATTGGAGGACACATTTGGTTTTGTATTTGCAGATGTGTTTTGAGGGGAGAATAACCCACTGCCCAAGCTGGATTTCGTCCAGCCTCCGCGTCTTCAACACTTCCTGCTGGCGTGCACTACTACAGGCGCGAGGGTGGGGCCCGCAGGAGCCCTAGTTGAGGTGCATTGTGAAGAAAATGTAAAGAAAAAAGAAGAACCCAATTGGAGGACACATTTGGTTTTGTATTTGCAGATGTGTTTTGAGGGGAGAATAACCCACTGCCCAAGCTGGATTTCGTCCAGCCTCCGCGTCTTCAACACTTCCTGCTGGCGTGCACTACTACAGGCGCGAGGGTGGGGCCCGCAGGAGCCCTAGTTGAGGTGCATTGTGAGCACCCAGCTTCCTATTGGAAGGGTGGCACAGCCATTAAAGTTAAGGCTAACAACCAAAACGTTCGAATCCCAGCACCCAAAATGAGTGCTGTCTCTTCGGCTTTCCATTTGGCCCTCTTCAACACTTATGCTTGCACGCTCCTTAAGAAAGAAAAACACATCTTTTAGAAGACAAACACACACCGTGTTACTTCACTGCTAGTTTCAGGGCACGCAAACTTAACTGTGAAGCCCAAATTCTTTCAAATGACTTACCTTCAAATCTTTTATTCATCTCAATGAATTTTAGTCAGCTTCAATTCAACACACATTCCCAGTGCTCACGTATATTCACCCTCTTCAACACTTATGCTTGCACGCTCCTTAAGAAAGAAAAACACATCTTTTAGAAGACAAACACACACCGTGTTACTTCACTGCTAGTTTCAGGGCACGCAAACTTAACTGTGAAGCCCAAATTCTTTCAAATGACTTACCTTCAAATCTTTTATTCATCTCAATGAATTTTAGTCAGCTTCAATTCAACACACATTCCCAGTGCTCACGTATATTCAAACAGACAAACAGTCCCACTTCTCTAGCCTCTCTGAACCCCCGTTCCTCTGTCAAGGTTCTTCTGCTTTCTTGACGTTCTTTGCAGCAACTTCGGGGCTCTCAACGTGGGACACCAGGAAATCGCCAACCAAAGAGACAGGCGTTTGTTTCCACAGACCTGCTGTACTGTCGATCTACAGATGGTCCTCTTCTGTCTGTCCTGTGTCACTGATCACGAACACCTCTTTTCATCTTTATTGTTCATAGGGCATTTCCTTCCTTCCCGAGCTGACATGCCACCGTTGCTTCTTTTCCTCCTCCTTCCCTGTCTCGCCTTTTGTCTTCTCCTCCCACTTCCTTCCCCTTTTCCTTCCCCTCCTCCCACCCACTCCCTTCTCCCCTGTCACCTGTCCCCTCTCTCCTGCTCTCTCCCTGCTCCCCTCCCTCCTCAGCTTATTCTTCCTTCTTAAGGCTGCCCTTGATTTCACAGAGATCTGCCTGCCTCTACCCCCAAATGCCGGGATTCAAGGCACGTGCTACCATCCTCGCTTTCGCCTCTTCTTTTGAAAGTGTTTGTTGTCATCTCGTAAACCCGGCTCGAGTCACCGGGACATAGGTGCTCCCAACATTTTTAACCTTCTCTCAGTCTCTGTCCCTCACTCACTGAACAGGCAGCTCAGTAGCTCTCCCTTCCCCCAGACGTCAGCAGCAGTCCCAGGAAACCCCATCCAGACGGGAGTTCAAATCTTCCTGTCCATGGCCTCTCACTTCCTGTGCTTGGCCTCTCACTCACCAAGGCTCCCCATGCTTCAAGCTTGACCTCTGGGCAGGAGCTCTGGTTGGTCTACAAGTGTCCAGGCCTCTTGCCGAGGTCCCCGAGGACCATCGAAGGTGATCCTGCAGCCATGCTGCCAGCAGACCTCACCATCCTCGCTGCTGCTGCTGCTGCCGCTGCTGCTCCTGCTCCTGCTGCTCCTGCTGCTCCTTCTGGTATAGGACTGGGTCTGGCAGTGTTTCAAGTGGAGGGGCGTGGAATTTGGGGTCTTCCTCAGTGTGGATGACATGTGGCAATCAAAGGTAAATGTTGAAGCCAGGCTCGGTGGCACTGGTCTTTAATCCCAGCACTCAAGAGGCAGAGACAGGCAGATCTCTTTGAGTTCAATGCCAGCCTAGTTCTCCTGGTCTACCTACTGAGTTCCAGGCCATCTGGGGCTACAGGGAGACCCCATCTCAAAACAACCACGTGGTTGGCGATGGGCATGTTGGCGCAGGCTTTAATTCCAGCACCCAAGAGGAAGAGGAAAGGAGATTTCTGTGAGAACCAGGCCAGCCTGGTCTACACAGCGAGTGCCAGGCCAGCTGGAGCTACAGGGTCTCGGGGTCTGTCTCACAACAAAAATAAAACCACATCCAAATGTTTCTTCTTTCTTTAGGCTCACTTTCTTTACGCTCACTTTCTTTACACTCACTGCGTAATGTTCCTGGGGTCAACAGTCTGGCCCGCTGCTTCAACCGCTTCTCTGCTGTGGATCCTGTTGTCATCAACATGGGTGTCCGAATTCCTGTTCAGGACGCTGCATTCACATCCTATGGGCCCCACATGCTCACGATTTGTAGAAACGTAGCGCACCAGAAACTGGAAAGGTACTTGAAATGTGATATTTTTCTATGATGTTTAAAATCTCAACTGTGTTCTTCTCAAGCATGAACACGTGGAGGACAATGTCCTGTTGCTGTGTCAGAAGGTTGGACACGCTCAGCCTTGGAAGCTCTGTCCTCTGTCTGTGTCCACACTGAGGCACAGGATCTTAAGCCCTGGGGCCTAGTAGGAGGTTTTGCCCGCTCATCGCTTGGCTCTAGTTTCTGATGCCCCCTGGGATCGTCTCTCTCACACAGGCTTCTCTCCTGGGTGTCGCCTGCTTGAGCTCTTCTGCAGAGGCCAAATCCATGAGGACACATGCTCTTGGACTTGCAGCCTTCAAACCTGGGAACTAAACCAAGCTGTTCTCATGAAAGTAGAAGACTGTCGGTACTATCTGTGAAGGGGAAAAGGGAAAGAGGGAGGGAAGA